TCAAAAGCCTCAAGAGTCCAAGTTCTTGGCCTGGCATCAGACTCTCAATATACTTCTTCCCTATCTGGGCCTTTATTTTTAACCAGGTCAGTTTATTCACTAATACCCAAATATGATATAATTTTATTAAAATGCATTAATAAATATTTTTATTATCTTGGGTTACTATTTTCTATTAACTATAGAAAATCTTTAGATTTCAAATGCACTGTGTTGAGTAAAGAAATGAGACAATGCCCTGTACTTGTTAGCAGATGCTTTCATTTATTTACTGTTGTTAAACTTTGCTTGATTAAGCAAGGAAAGGAATCAAATTAATAAGTTACTCCGCACTGCTAAGGAGTGAATAATTTAATCAAGATTGAACCTCACCCTTCACATCTGATGTAATAATCTTCAAACCTGTGATGATCAAATATCTCTTTTTGATGACAGATAATATTCTAGGGAGAAGATGAGAAGGAGTTACCTGGTCACAGCTTTAGCAAATGACATACTAAGCCCTACGTATTTGGGTAACAACAGCACATATGATTTTGCTCAATGTACATTAATTGTTCTATTCAAGTTTAAGCATAGACATGTCTGTATTCATTCAACACATTCTTACTAAAAACACCCATTTTTTGTTGGTTTGTTGGTTGTCAGGCACCACCCCAGCGAAGAACTGGGGCTGCAGCAGTTAACAAGGCAGAGACCCTCCTTATCTGCACCTATGGGACTGAGGATTGATGAGGCAGATTGATGAGAATACTTTCAGGGAAATGCAGGCTGCAAAATGGGAAAACTAGGGTGCTCGTAAGAGCATACAGGTCCTAATAAGGGCAAATGGTTTGCTTTTTTTCCAGTTTACTTGTAACTGGAGGATGACTGCTTCACAGTGTTGCATTGGTTGCTACCATATAACAGTGTGAATCGGCCTTCAGTATACACATGTCCACTGCCTCAAGTTCCTTCCATCCTCACCCCGTTCCACCCTTCTAGCTCGGGCTTGCTGTGCTATGCAGTGACTTCCAATTCGCTATTTTACATATGGTAATCGAGTATTAATCAGCCATAAAAGGGAATGAAACTGAGTCAGTTCCAGTGAGGCGGGTGAACCTGTGTGTGCTCAGCTGCGTCTGACTCTTTGTGACCCCATGGACTGGGGACTGCAGACTCCTCTGTCCATGGGTTGAACCTGGTGCCTGTTATACAGTGATATCAGTCAGAAAGAGAGAAACAAATACTGTCTGTTAGCACAGTATCTGGAATCCAGAAGAACGGGACTGGTGAGCCTACTTGCAGGGCAGGAACAGAGACTCAGCCTGGAGCACAGGCTGGTGGACACAGCGAGGGAAGGAGAGGTGGCCGAAGGGCGGGAGGAACCCTGCAGGCCCACAGCCCTACAGGGTTCAGACTGGGAGCGTGTGCACATGCTGCTTCTGCTTTTTGCCTCACTCTTGCCATCAGGGTTTTGCCTCATTTCTATTTATCCTTCAAAACTCAGCTTTGATTCCAGGTCCCTCTAGAGGCCAAATCTGAACTGTCTCATAAAGTCTGGATTGGTCTTTATGGTATTCCAAAAGCTCTGTGCATGACTGCTATCTTGGCACTAACCAGACACATGAGAACTGTTACTCAGCTGTCTCCTAACTGGACGGTGAATTCTGCATCTAAAGTGTCCAGCAGTGCTTAATACATTTTGCTAAACAACTGAGTAAGTAAAGGCTTAACAAAGAAAAATACCACACACAATTTCTTACTAGGTCTTAACAGACAAAGCAAAAGATAAAACAGCTAAAGGTTTTAACGAAAGTATTTTGAGTAGAGGTTTAGCACTGCACAAGGGCTGGATTATTCCGTGTGTACAATTTCTCTGTTTGTAAGGTTTATAGGAGTTAGAGCGCTTGAGGTCATCTTTTGCCAAAATATATCCTGTGATACTTTAGCTCCAAGGTCTCAGAGGATACATTATCAGGATTTTCTCATTCTGAAATAAAGATGAATCCCCCTCTTTCTAGTCTACACACACATATACACACAAAGTCTATATTTATAATCTAAAACTTTCATGATTTTTTTTAACAGTATAAGTTTATTAAATTAATATAGATATTTTAATACAGAGTTTATTAAAAGATAAACAATGGTCCTAATTCCAGAAGGTGGTTTATTCTTGCGATGCAAGCCTCAGATAAAAGAGTGCTATGCTAGTGGTTCTACCTGGGAACGAGGGAGGGGACAGACCAGAGGCTAGAAAATGTCTGAGTGCATGTGAGAGTGTATCTCAGTGGCATGAATTTATGTCACAAGAGAAAGAACATGGACGCACGTGGCTCATCAGGATGACGAGAAGAGGGAAAAAAAGTGATTCAAGTTGCTGTGTTCAGACACGACATAGCACAGAGATGAAGAAGCTGGACTCGGAAGTCAGGCAGACCTATGTCTGAAACTTGGCCACAGAACCAGAGGCAAACTATGAGACCTGTTCAATCTTTGGTTATGTTTTACTATAGAACAGAGATAAAAACAATGACTATCTGATAGGATTATTAAGAAGATTAAAAAGGATACATATAAAGCATTTCAACATACTTCTAACTCAAATAACTCAACAAGCAAAGTAATGTAGTAAATATTAGCCTATTAATACTATTATTATTATTAAGATGCAAACAAATTTAAAATACTGTAGAAAATCTCATAGATCTTTTAAAAATAATAAGATATCAACTACTATATATTTTTAGGAAATACAAATATCAGTTGTTAGTTTTAGTACATGAAGTGAAGTTGCTTCAGTTGTGTCCAACTCTTTGTGACCCCTGTGGACTATAGCCTACCAGGCTCCTCTGTCCATGGGATTTTCGAGGCAAGAATCCTGGAGTGGGTTGCTATTTCCTTCTCCAAGTACATGAAAGTAAATCAAAAAACAAAAGGGGTTTATGTTACATTTCAATCACATAGTTCAGTTGTAAGGTTAATATTTTTAGTGAAAACAAAGTAATTTTTCAAAATAGATTTAAAAATGAATTCTAAAATGTTATCTTTTCAAAAAATACTCATGATCCTTGTTGCAATGTTCTTAACCAAATTCTGCATTTTTCAAGGTCTAGTGTAATATATCTTCCATTATACATGTATCTTTAAAAATCAGTCTGGTCATTTGAATTTTTTTTCTACTTGGTGAGAAACATAAAGGGAAAACATAAATATCAATGAAAGTAAGTTTTTAACATGCCTTAAACGATTACATTTATCTTAGAACAGAGAATTTGATCTTTAAGATATATCTCCTTTGACTTGCTATATAATTTACTTGCTTAATTATCACAGAAACCTTAAGACTTAAGATAGTAAGTATATCAGCCTTGATACAAAGAGAAGTGCAATGCTTACCTGCTTTTTTCATCTGGACCAAAAATATCAGAATTCATAATTATAGACAAACCTTTGTAGCCTGGACACGTTACTAACTATAAATTATAGTTACAAAAGGACTGTTCTTCTGAAGGTCAGTATACGAATTTATCTTAAAAAGTTTTCCCCTTCATAGCAGCCAGAATACTTAATCACAGCATGGGTATCTATATGCCATTATAATCATATTATATCATGACTGGGTCTTCTCTACAATGACTTACAATGCAGGCTGAGTTATTTCACATATTGCATTAATAATAATAATTTAAAAATCTAAGTACACATATGCAATCAAATAAGAAACATGATGGGAATCAACACTAATGTTACAGTTGTGTCACTAAGTAGCTCTGTACTCTTAGAAAGTTCTCGGCCTCTCTGAGTTTCTCTATCCTCTACACACTTTTTGCCAATATTTAGTAAATAATTACCCAAAGCTAGGAATTAATTATCCACAATGAATTTTTCTGACTTAGTACAATTTTTTTCTTCCTATTTCTAGAATAGCTAAAAGCAAAACAATAAAAACAAACTGTTGAAAAAAGTCAAAAGATCTATTTAAAATTTTGGTGTACATTTTTTTACCTTTTCTTTCATTTATTAAGCAACTATTATGTATACTTCATCTTGATCAGTAAGCATCTACACAGCTAGTAAAAGATCATTACATTCATGCCCCTTTCTTATTTACCTCATATTCTTTTTAGGTTACTCTAGAAATCCGACATAAGTTTCTCTATTCAGTCACACATTAATACTTCTAGAATGTTAACTCATCTGTACCCAAAACAACCCAAATAAAGTCTGCCAAGTATCTTTTCATTTATAAATCTAGTAAACTTTGCTAACACCTCACTGAATAAATGTCAATCACGATGGATGAATCTGATTTTGACTAGGAAAGGGAAGCAGAAACCATAATACATAACAGTGAGAGAAAGGAAGCCAAAGTAAATAAAACGCAACCCACACAAAACGGCGTCCAGAAGACAGAAAGAGGGCTCCATGAGCTGGGGTTCAGGACCCAGCTGGGGACGTGCGAAAGGAGCCAGTCTCAGATAAGCACTGGAGACTAAGGTAGCTCGCCTTTCCCAGTGATTCTAGTGCATCCTTCCACAATAACACCACACGAAGCTCGTCTGTGTTAAAGATTTGGCCACAGAGTTGGTCACAGTGTTTCACACTGTACTTGCAGATATGGTAGAGTAAAAGAGGTAACAATTCAGTATTTCAAACTGCATCTTAATGTAAAGTAAATACACTGCTCAAAACAGGATTAGGAGAAAACAAAGTTTTTGAAAGGAGACATTGGACAACACTGATTTTAAATGTGTGAGGTTAATTTCAAATAATAATAATAAAATCGAAATTTGTCCTTGAGACCTGAAAGAAGACTCTGTGACACTACCTCCAGGCACTAATGGAGGGATGGAAAATCTGAGTGTACAATCTCATCGCAAATATGTACATCCACACAGTTTTACTATTTTAGTCACACTGAAACTCAAGAACATCACAGTAGCCTACTACAATCACAGATCAACAGGATAAAAGTAGATAAGAAGAATGTGCAACTTATGAATACGGTTTATTACCATGGTTACAAACTTTCAGAATAGGCCTCTGAGATGCTGGACTGAGACTCTGCCGAATATCTGTTAAAAATACATATACATAAAAGAAACTTAATATAGAGCTCTGTTCATCTCAGGAAGTATAACAATATTAGACATTTTTCCAAGGTTAAGTATTTCCGGAAGCGAAGCAATGCTTCAATACCCTGATATACTTGAAGCAATAATGCTATGGCTTTTACTTCTCATTTAACTATGCTACTGTGAACTCCATTGGGATAAGGTACACATGGTCCCTTAGATGAGGCCCGTCTCACTAATCATTTCCCAGGTTCAGCGCGCTGATCCGTTAACATGCCAGTGACACTGGCCAAGTGGAACGCTTCCTCCCGACACTTGTCACTGCAGAACTCCTGAAGAGTTGCTGCCCACAGCACTACATTCGTGACACATACTTTAAAAGAATTATAAAAAAGGGGAGTGCTGTTCTTTGTTACAGTTCCCTAGAAAGTAGCATGAAAGAAGCATAATGTTCACCTTTTGGCTTCGGTGTCCTTTTCCTTCGGTCGCGGAAGGCAGCCCCTGACTGCAAGGCCTCCAGCAGACTATCCATCACTCCTGTCTCATCACCCTCTGTGAAAAGAGAAGCCGGGAATTCCATCATCCCTCCGGGTTACCATAGCAATGTCAAAGCACGTGCAGGAACTGGTGATGGTATGGTAGGGGGAAGAAGGTCAGATGCCAGGTCTAAGCCAGCAATTTCAAAATATGAAAGGACTTTAACTCCCCCAGAAATCAAATATCTTTTAATGAAATCGGTCTCATTAGTGCCTCTGCCACTGTCCACTAAAGAGAACCAAATTCCACTGATTCACTTTAGAGCACTGTTTTTATAGTCTGGTGGCACAATAACTTTAAATGGAATGTGGGTCTAGTCATATCTGTGTCTCGGGTTATCATAAATCACATTTCCCTTGTAGAAATGGGTTATTTTCAAGGCATCAGCTCCTATTCTAAAATCGACCAGGTGTGGGAGAATGTTTCTGTTGTTATAGAGATTCTGCTGTCTAAATTTATTGTACAAAATTATATTTCCAGGCCAACTTCTGTGAACATGCTCCCAACAGCTGATTCTTCATATCAGAGGATAATTGTCCCCAGACTTTCAGTGACACAGAACAATCACTACAAACTTTTACAGAAAGTATGAAAAGTTTGTCTTTTTAATGAAAAATAAGCCAAAAGAGGCTCTGAAAAATCTGAAGGATAGAAACACATTATGATTAGTTTAAACTGATATTCTACATATAATTGATGAGATTCTGGATACAGAGCCAACTCTCTGTATTTAGTTATTTTGTAATAATCTATAATTACATATGTCCATGCTAAATGCTTTTTAAAGGAAGCTGTTAAAAAGGGGGTGGGGGAGGGTTCAAAGAAATTACTGGTTCAAACTAAATCCATGGAAATGCCAAAGATTTTTTTTTTCTGCTCCCTGAGAGAGTAGTTATTTTCAGGCAGTCTATATGAAGTTGTATGACTGGTACACAGTCATGTCTAAAATACTACATAACTATTTTCCTCTGGATTTTTTATTTCTTTTTTGAAATGCAATCCTTTTCTAGGGAACATATGACAAACGAACTCAGTAGAGTACAAATAACATACTCATTTACAGTTTATAAACAGATATATAAATATAAATACGTATCAGCCGTTTGCAATCTGGTTCTGTTTCATTTTTAGAAAAGTACTAAACTTCATAGGTATAACGTGAAAAAAGGTGGGTGAGCAATAAAGTATTTGGAGGTTGTTAACTTACATGTAAATTTAGTTCTAAAGTGGTTTGATGGCTATTTTAATTAAAATATATTAAATATTTCAGATATTTTAATTAGTACCTAGCAATCTTGGAAATTTACACTCAAACTCTACTACATTTTTCCTAGAAAGAACTGCAGGTAAAGCTAAATATGTAATATATCTCATTAGTGTGATATTAGTTGTGAATATATCTCATTAGTAAAAGCAAACTTTGAACTTTCTATAGTAAGTTTGCTGTTGACAGTAGTATCGATGAAGTGATTGTGAAACTATTACATGAGTATTATAAGCCTGAGCAGATGGGTAGACATGTTGATGCAGAACATGGATGCTTGCTGGGAAACACAAATACAGAGCAGGAGAAGGCAAGGAAGAACCGTGAAGTGTTGGATTAGACAGAAAGGTACCTGATAAGCTCAAGCTTTTAGATAAGTGCTTCTCTAGCTTCGCAGTCCCAAAGAGCCAAGAAGTAATGACACTGCAGGAGCAGTGAGCACACCCGGCCCTCAAATCTTGGCTTCTAAACATTATTTCTCACTGATAGGAACTGCAATACTTACAATGGCTGTTCCTAGGGTTGAGATCAAGGAAGAATGAAATGAGTCAGGAAAACACAGTTGTGCCACAAAATAAGAAAGGGCTCAAAGACAGATGGGGGGAGGGGCCAGACTGAAGAATGAAAGCGAATGTGAAAGTGTGAGTCACTCTGTCACGTCCAGCTCTTTACAACTCCATGGTCTGTCCATGGGATTCTCCAGGCAAGAATACTGGAGTGGGCTGCCATGCCCTTCTCTAGTAGATTTTCCTGATCCAGAGATCAAACTCAGGTCTTCTGCACTGCAGGCAAATTCTTTACCATCTGAGCTAACAGGGAAGCCTTAGCTAGCAGGGAAGGAAGAATAGCCTTAGCCAAATATAGGACAGTCTGAACACTGAATAGGTAATGATGAGAATGCATTATTATACACTGGAAAAAAGAATCATGAATCCATACTGACACTAAACATTTTAAATTTTATTTAAAAAGGGGAAGAAGAAGCTCTATTGAAAAAAGAAAATTCACCATATTACAACTCACACAATAAGAATTAATTAGGCAGAAATCATCAATGGTTACAAAAACTACTGTATGTGAGGTTATGGAGGAACATGGCATGGAGAAAACTCACAGATAACACCTTAACCAAATAATCAAATTTGACATCACCAGTGGGGTACATGGACAACAACTGTCTTCTGAGGTCATCAACTGAAATGGACACAATATAACCTGTGCAGAAATATAAATCTAAATGTAAGGAAACAATATTTTGTGAAACAACTAGTCTAGGTTCTTAAAAGTCATCAATGTCATGAAAGACCAAGAAAGAAAAAAAGAGAAGAAAAGGTTAGGGAAACAGCATTTTATGTTAGAGGAGATTAAAAAGACATGACAACTAAACACAACACAGAATCTCTGATTAGCTCTTGCAATGCAAAAAAGTCACAGATGACATTATTGTGAAAGCCCAATTTTAAAATGTGTTGGGTATTAAATAATTATATTATACCAATGTTAGTCACTTGAGGCTTCCCTTGTAGCTCAGTCAGTAAAGAATATGCCTGCAATGTAGGATACCTGGGCTTGCTTCCTGGGTGGGGAAGACCCCCTGGAGAAGGAAATGGCTACCCACTCCAGTATTCCTGCCTGGAGAATCTCATGGACAGAGGAGCCTGGCGGACTACAGTCCACGGGGTCACAAGAGTTGGATACGACTTAGTGACTAAACCACCACCACCACCACCAGTCACTTGAGTGTGAAAATTATATTATGGTCAGGTAGGATGATGCCATTGTTCTTGGGAGACAGATGCTGATGTGGTCAAGCTCACTAAACAACTACCCACAGTCTCACGTCCTCAATTTCATGCCTTCGATCATGCTCTTCTGTCTGCATAGAGCATCCTTCCTGCTTTCTTCACCAAGCTATCTTCTTCTCCTTCCAGACAGACAACTAAATATCCTTTCCTGACCTATATATGCTGAACTGGGTGCCTTTTTGTGTCCTAACAGCTTGAGGTACATATATCAATAAATCCTCTATAATATTGTTTATGTGATCATTTCTACCACGAGGCTATTGGTTCACTGAGGGCAAGGATTATGGCTTTCATTTAACATTTAGCAAAGAAAGTGTTTACCAATGTATGTTGACTCTATCAGCAAATGAAGCACGGATGTGGTCAGCTGGAAGGAGTCCCCACACAGAAGAACAGAAGTCATGACAGAAGTCAACAACGCTGACTGGCTCCCTCCTCCCCCTGGTCTCACATGTCCGTTCAGCACCTGCCAACATCCCAGGAAGAGAGCTGCTGTTTCCTCTTCTGACTAAACTTAATGTCGGTGGTCCAGAACTAAACTGTTTTTCACCTGAAATACTGTATGTGTTGCCTGAAATGATACTGCTTCTAGTTTCTCCCTAATTCAATTCATTCCATACAGCACTGAAGCAGAATTATGATCCCCTAGTCACAAATTTTCAAAATCACTCACTTCCCACAACATAAAGTCCCAACTCATTCACTTGGCCCTGACACTGACTCCAATTGCTCTTTAAATCATATCTCTGATTTCCAACATCACAACCTGTTCCTCCACTAAAGGCAACTACCTGTGATTCTCCACAAACATCCTCTCCCATCCATCAGGCTCTACCTGGAACTTCTGTCCCTGGACTTATTCCCCAGTGTTAACAGTTTTGCTTGGCTTCTATTCCCCACTCCTATAATGGAAATTATATAGTATCAGAGTAAGAAGACCTGCATTCTAGTCTGAGCTGTCAACTGGCTACGTAATCATTCCTGAGATGCGTAATAGCGATAATACATACCCATGGTTCAGGAGACGATCAAATGAAATCATACAAATGAAAGCACTTGGTAAATTGCTAAGTGATACAAAAATGTATGGAAATAAATTCATAAACGAACTCCATGGTATACTACAGGCAGTTTATGTAATATTCAATTATGTTCTAAGTATTGTTTCAGATACATTATAAATTAAATAACTCTTTTATAGCATATTGAATTATGCCTTTGAATAACATCATTTCTATGGGAAGTTCGGTTCAGAAATACGACTCTTAAAATAATCCAATGGGTAAGATGTGGACACAAAATAAAGATGTTTTTCCAAATGCTGAAAATGCATTTAAAATTTTTACTTGACACACGTTTACTGAGGGCTCTGATATGCCAGAATATTACTAGGCATTTAAGATACCTAGGTCCCAAGAATTAACAAGAGGTGTTTTCAGCTCTCCAGAAGTGGAAAAGTGTGCTAGGTATGGAGGGTTATATCGGAGATGTAAGTTCTCCCAGTGCATTAAAACCTGGTGAACAAGCATGAGTGGGCCATAGCAGGGACTGGGGAGGGAACAACACATCTGGCAGAAGAAACGCAGATACAAAGGCAAGAGTTAAAGAAGTGAGTATAATAAAGTATTTTGCTGCTGATCTTTTGTTGTTCAGTGGTGTCCAACTCTTTGCAACCCCACTCACTATAGCCTGCCAGGCTCCTCTGTCCATGGGATTTCTCAGGTGAGAAGACTGAGGTAGATTGCAATTTCCTTCTTAAGGGATCTTCCAGACTCAGGAAAAGTATTTAAATGACTCATGTTTACATTATTCTAATACAAACCAGAGAAATTAAAATTAGCCATTTTTATCATAGACTAGAATTCAATTTCTTTAACTACAAGTCAATTGATATTCAAAATATTTATAGCCTCTCTCCTGCTGTGAAAACTCTTTTAAATAAATGG